ATGAAAATTACTTTGCATGTTAGTCAAAAGAAAAAAAAAGTATGAGAAATTTTGCTTAACAAACCTTAAGAATTAGTATTTTGGGTATGAAAGCATTGTAATGTTAACTGATAATGTGCCAAATTTCGTTAACATACGCTAACTAATTTAAAAGTTATGGCATAAAAATTATAACAAGCACACAATGAGTACGAGGTCGATCCGACGGACGAAGCCCGTGTTGAAAGGGTTAAATAATACATCATGGACGTAAACTTCATAAACATCAGCTTTTAAAGTGCTTTGACCACATATTTCTATTGCTTCCAAGAAAGCATAATGGATGTGTACTTTTACACACAGTACATTTTTAAGTGCTTTGAAGAATTCTACTGATTTGCAAGTTTAGGAAAACATCATGGATGTTTATTTTATACACATTGGGTTTTAAGTGCTTTGGAAAATTCTACTGATTGCGAGTATAGGAAAATATCGTGGATGTTTATTTTATACACATTGGGTTTTAAGTGCTTTGAAGAATTCTACTGATTTGCAAGTTTAGGAAAACATCATGGATGTTTATTTTATACACATTGGGTTTTAAGTGCTTTGGAAAATTCTACTGATTGCGAGTATAGGAAAATATCGTGGATGTGTATTTTATACACATTTAACTCCACCCTTCAGAATGCATGCAAATAAAAGCAAGTGTGAGATGATTTCCCTCAACATATTTGAACACGGTTATTACAGGCAGTTTCTCTTTCACAAATTCAGGGGTAAAAAGAAATATGATCTTTAGTCGTGGTATTCAAACAAAGCTGTAACTGTATGCCCTTCTTCTTTAGAAATGCTATACTACTTCACAACTGTGATTATAAATTGGATCTATTCTTAATGAATACCTAACTGTTAAAAATCTTCTTGATGGGAAAACAACACTAACTCAAAGCACTATCTGTTGAGAACAAACCAGTAATTTGTTTTAATCAGTAAATACATCCTCAGTATTTTAAATGTAAAAAATATCACAATTTTTTCCGCATATTTTGAATCTTTTCAACACTTTTACTTTCAATGTCCAGTGCAAAAAAGTCTTGGCTAAACTAAAAACCCTTAAAAAGTATGAAAAATAAAAGGTTGTTTTCCATTTAAATGCCTTTAAACACATTTTTCTCAAAATTGACATTCTTGTAGTGGTTTTTAACTTGTAACTTCAGATCTGTTGATGCTATAGACTTCACGATTGACATAAATATGCATTATTAGTGTATCTAAAGTGTGTACTAAGGTAAAGTTGATAAGATGTTTGGTTTTTAATAAATGACTATTAACGTGTCACTGTAGTATATGTTCTACTTTGGGCATACTCAATAGGGTTGTAATTTGACCTCGATTTAACTTAGTTTTCCGTATGCTAATTCAGACTAATTATTCACATTTCCATCAGAGTCTGGACCCATTTCTTGGAGCATTCAGTTATGTTTGTAGAAGTTTTAAGGAATACAAGACATTTCTTTTGTATTTTTATAATATAAGAAAATAATTTGTTTTTATTTAGTTTACTAATTATCACTCAAAAACCTGTTTTTAAATAATGAAACTATTTCATATGAATAAAAGGAATACTTTAACACTTTTTGCCCCAGTGGTAAATAACTTTTCTATTTGTAAACCTTCAAAGATGCTGATCTGATAAAATTGTATTACTCAAAGGTGTCATTCAAACCGACACAACTTTTCCTAAGAAGCTAATTGTAAGGACACATTATTTACAGCATAGATTATGAGTTTTTATTGCTGTTATATTAGACAACCAGTATTAAATGTACCATTACTAAAGATTCAGTTCACTAGTGTGTACTATTACTTACTGGAATGGACCACCTTAAGGGACTCTTCATGAAATTACATTGCAACTTTCTGTCAGATAAACAGAATGACTAGAAGAACAAATACTGTAATAATGATTTTTCCTATAACCTTCAATTCATTATTTAGTAGGAATTAAATTAATTAATGGAAATATGGGAAAGTATTAACTTTTGAAAGAAAATTACATAAACTATAGTTTTAGCATCTAAATCAATATAACCGACCTCTTTCAAACGCACATTTATACAGTATAGTTACTCAAATGTTTAAGCTATTTTAAAGTTTTGTAAACCATTGTGCGTGTTGTAAACTTAATGCCTTATATAAACACATTTGAACATTTCTATGTAATTTTATGTAAGGAAAGCATCATTTGATAAACCTAAAAAAAACTTGTGTTTCAAACCCATAACAAGAGTAAACTAATGATTGGAAAACGAACTGGTCTTGAACTGGCATTTAGTGAATTTAATTCCTCTCCTGATGCTGTCAAATTTGTGTTTATGTCAAAGCTACTTAGGCTATCAGTCAGCAGCATACTACCACCTACACTAAGGATTTGACTGTCACTCTTATAATGCACCCACAGTTTAAAGTCTGGAAATATTTAGTGGGATTGCATGGATTTAAACCCTACTTTCCAGCTTCAAAATCCAGAAATTTACCACAGGGTCACTGAGAGCTGTCATAGAAGTGACACTTTTCTTTTAAACAAATGGTTACTGTAGAGTTTTGAATAACTTGAAAACAGAGAAGTTATAACAAGGATTTCAGACACAAACATGAGGAAAATATAGGTTTATTTCTATTGGTTAATACTAGACACCTAAATTGTCTCGGTCAGAAATTTGTTACTCTAAATCATTTTCACTGTGCACACTTGCCGATTATAGTAAGACGACCGACAAACTCATTGTTTAAAAAAAAACTATTAAGCTAAGTATTACAAACAGCTGTAGAGTATGAAAAATTTTACTTAATATTACAACTGACAGCTAAGTTACATTCAGGTTAAAATGTTTGTGGTTATCAAAGAAGGAAAATATTCTCCTACTGTAAAGCTTTGCAGATTAAGAAAACAAAATATTAACAGATCTCCTCTGAGTAAATTTCAATACTGGTTTACTTTATAGAATAGTTTGTTGTTGTTGTTTTTCTTAGTCTTGACAAAATTTTGGAAACACACATTTCTGTTAATTTTTATGTAGCTATAATACTAACTTTCCCGATGTACCATTAATTTTTGCATATAAAAACTGAACCACAAATACTGATGCTCTTAAAATTAATATTTTACAATAACAATTATGAGAAAAAATTAAGATTGAGTCATTTAAAACATTCTCTCGCAAGGTCAAATGAAGCTACAAAACCATTAACCAAGCACCTTACAGCATATCTGAAATAAAACCACTACCAAACATGAAGATAGAAACTACAAGATAATTTTTTATCACGTCAGTACCACGGCAAACAGAGTATACAAGGTTTTATTCTGTTTTACAAATATAAAATCAATAACTGTGAGGCGTTTCTGCAGATAAGGGAGAAAAATAACATCACTTCTGATAAGGACTTAAAACAGTCAAATTAAATTAAAATGGAATAGCCATCTTGAAAGCTTATACGTGAAATTTATAGACAGATCTTTACATGTCTAAAAAGTTTCTACTTTTCAAATTATTCAATACCTAAAATGTAAATAATAACATCACTTCTGATAAGAAGGACATAAGAGAGTCAAAGTAATTTTACATAATAAGCTACCTTGAAAACCACTTGTGACATTTATTAAAAATTCCGACCTTCAAACTACAAAATTTCAATTTTTCATGCAACCAGGTTTACCCAATATGGAAGACAAACATTCACCATGATAAACATAAAGCAACAAACAAAACGTTAAGGATAACATTATAATTTATACATAAACAACGAAACTTGAGGTCTTTACTAATGAGAACATAAATAATGGATGAAAATATTTCACATCTCAAAGTTTAATTAATATATATATATATTAAAGTTAATAGGCAAAAACTTGATACTAACATGAAATTTAATTCATGATATTGAAATCAGTGCTGGTGGTCAGTCAATCACTTAGGGCTGCTTTCCACAATATGTTTGAGATGGCAGACGATTAACTCCCTAATACCTAAAGTACACTACTGCTTGTGGTCAGTCTGGTAAGATTACTTCCAACAAAAATATGGGATGGATGCACCATAAGTTGTCAAACACACAAGTTTTTAAGTTGTAACTTGGGATAGCTGACCATTAACTTCCTACAACATAAGCACACTAGTGCTAATGGTCAGTTTGACAAAGATGACTTTGAACAGACACGTGGGATGGATGCACCATAAGTTGTCAAACACACAAGTTTTTAATTTATAACTTGGGATAGCTGACCATTAACTTCCTACAACATAAGCACGCTAGTGCTAATGGTCAGTTTGACAAAGATGACTTCGAACAGACACATGGGATGGATGCACCATAAGTTGTCAAACACACAAGTTTTTAATTTATAACTTGGGATAGCTGACCATTAACTTCCTAGAACATAAAGCACACTAGTACTTGTGGTCAATCTGATGAAGATAACTCCTAATAAAAATATGGGATAAATAACCTTTAACTCGCTACTACAGACAACAGTTTTGTCCTGCATCTGAAGCTACAACTTTTAGATGCTTCTTCATCACATTCAAACAAGTCACTTTTCCAGACTTATAACAAAGTAATATTATTTTAAACCCTTATGTTAACAATATCACAGGGCTTCTTAATACTTTACTCTTAAGATGCTTAATTTTAACAGAATTTTTATTATTGCCTTTTAACAAATGTCTGTCACCAATACATTGTGCAAACTTAATAACAGCTTGTAGTTGTATAACCTCTGATGCAAACCAATCACAAATACTACAACAAGGTATTCACAATTGTATTTGTATGACTTTCCATACAATACCCACACTTGAAAAATATTATAGAAGTGGCATTATGAAACAGTTTGGCGAGGTGTACACAATTATACAAAAAATATTTTATGCTGCATCTTAAAAATATTTCAATTTATTACTGCATTAACATACTTTACCAACAAATACTTTTCCTAAAAACAGTTTTGTATAACATTAAATCTTCATAGGAATATTTGTACTATATATGGTTACTATTACATATTTTCATGCAATTTTGTATTCTTTGAAAACCTCATATAAAATATTAGTTGGATTACTTAAGGCCTACAAAGTTAATAAATAACAGTATGTAGATGCAAGACAATACTTAAGTTTAACGACCCTTTTCATAAGGGTACATTTTCTACCCATAACTAATAAAAATGACATCACAAACTAAAAGCTTGTGAAATTGAAAAAAAATTAATAAAAAAAACGTATTTTGAGTAAATGTCTTTAGATTCGAAGTTTCCAAGTTTTGTGTGTCTTGGTTACTTATCTTATTTAAAGACAGCTATGGAGTATTATTAAAGAGTATAACAAATGAGAAAAGTATACTGGTGGTATATCGTATTACGAACTACTTACAATTTATTAGTTCTTTTATAGCAACAAATACTAATTGCTTAAAATACACAAAAGTGTGTTAAGTACACATAAACTATTTCAACAACATGATCATATAACTCAAGAATTCCAGTCATGCATCACAACAGTTTGAGTTTAAATAGCTGTGCTTCATATAGCTAGATACTTGGCTAGAACACCATAAACATTTTATAATATATTTCAATAATAGCAAACAAGAATTTAGGCAACAACAAAAGTATTGTAAAAATACAGATTTATATCGTTAAAGCCATGCAACAGGATTTCTTGAAATATTTTGTTTTAAGTCATTTTTGTCAGTTAAATAGAGAATAAAAACTTTAAAACCATGGCATGTCCATCCTAAAATATAACGGGTAAAAAAAACAATTTTATAAAGAGAAAATATGTTTCAATGTACAATTTCTAACAACAATAAATTTCTGTATTTTTTCACACAAACACACATAGATTCTTTTGCTAAATTTTAAACACTCCATGTACTGATGTACAGATAACCTTAATAACAAGGTATCCAAACTGTAACCTGAGACAAGATTTTACAGGAAATCTTAAATGGGGCGAGTGAAATTTGCTGGGAAGAGACCCTTTTGGTTGGTTGATTCTTTGATGCCCATGAGCCATCCTTCTTCCTGCAATGATTTTTTTTTTTTTTATCATTAAGTCTTGTAAACTTTTAGTAACAAATCTATTAATTGAACTATTATTATGGTCACTTTGAAATATAAGCATTTTTTTTTTAATTTCAATGCAAAAAAAAAAAATATCTGCAATAAAAAAAGATTTTCAGTGTTTTATCTTCAATTGAAAGAACCATTTATATAAGTTATATAACTGCTGAATCCAGGTTTGTATAAAATTATCCTGTTTTCTGTGTGTGTGTGTTAAAAATTTATTTTCTTCTTCACCAGAGGTGAAATTGAAAAGAAAATCCATAACATAGTAGCCTAATGCATTTCTTGATTGGCCGTACCCTCTGCTGTTGGACTGCAATTTTGCCCATTCAAGGCTCATCAGCACAGCTTGGATCAGTAAACCAAAGAAATACTATTAGGTCTGTTATAATGGTGGAGTGTATATAATATCTATGGTGTTTTGAGTCTATTTTACTTCACCAATATGAATTAGGTTACTTATATGGTGAAATAAAATAGACACAAAACACTACAGATATCCTGTTTTTTTATTTTTAGCTTTAAGTTACCTAATTGTTTTATATATAAATACACCATTCAATACCAGCGGGGTTCACATATTCATTTTTGTCTGTTACAGTACTTAGTGTCAAGAACTGACCAACAGAAAATGAGTGAAATTATTCACCGTCATAGGGAATTCCATCAGTAATTAGTGGGATTAACTGAAATATTGACGTTATTTCTGTTTGTTTGTTTTTTTCACATAACTCCATCATTAAGGACCCTTAATAATAAACCAATAAGTAACTTGGTACGTCATTTGTTTGGAAAAATGTTCTAAAAGCTGATGGGATCTATATGGATCCTCAACAGTAATTCTAGAGTTAAATGAGCAACAAAACAATTCTAATTTCCCAAAAGCACAAAATCTAAAACATGACGGAGAAAACATGCTATAAAATTATTACTTAAATAATCAACTTCTAAAATATTCCAATTAAGTTATACTGGTAAACTTGTACTAGTAGTCTTAATCAAACAATCACATCAACGTGAGTACTTTAATCACCTGTTCATCAGGATCATCGTATTCTACCACTTGAATGATCTCCCCAGATTCAAAGTCTAATTCATCCTCATCTTCTGCCGTATACTTGTACGTAGCTCGAACCTAATGGAGTAAGTTAACCAAGTTCTGATATTACAGAAGTGAAAGGTAACTAACTTAAGATGTAGTGTTACAGAAATACCATAGTTAGCACTTGGACAATGTTTGGTTACAGATCTGTAATAAGAGTTTTCCTTCTGATGGAACTGTGATAATTTTGTCACGAGAATAAGAAAAATTAAGGAATCATAAAATAAATTAAGAGTCATTCAGAGGTTTAAAATGAAATGAAAAATCTCTAATAAAAACAACAATACAACATAGAAAAACAAATGAGGCAAATGTGATTATTTCTAATTAACTCTGTATGTCACACTATTGTCATGCTATATTTTCTAACATAATTATTTTCAATGCTGTATTAAATTTACCCAAAACACAAATAATTGAGTTCACGTTCAATGCTTCTGATTTTTCATCTAATTAGTATATTAAACTAAAATTTCAAGTAAAGTGATAGTTTAACTTCATAAATGTAGTTTCTTTACAAACCAAAACTGAAGGGTCCAATTTTTTCTGAGCACTGTTCGCCTCTAACATGTCAAAAGGAGAAATACACAAAAACATCTAAAATAAGACAGAAAACAGTCTTTGAAAACTCTAGTAACAAATATCAAGTTTTACCCGATAAAAAACACCAGGTGGAAGGCCTGTTGTTGTTGCTCCCACAGGGATATCATACAGCTCCTCGAGCTTCTTGGGATCTATTGATCTCAATGGTTCATCATCAATGTTGTTCTGTCCAGCCAAAAAAACCAAGACTACTAAAACTATGATACATACTCAATATCTATCTATATACATGAGTGATAATGAAAAAAAAAAAGCAGGTAATAAAAATTTAAAAATCTTAAAGAATGTAGTACACTGAAAAGCAATGCTAGACAGAAGATACAGCCTTATTCTGAATTATAATTATAAAAAGCTATGAATTCTAAAGCATTTTGTTTGTTACAGATATTCGTACAAAGCTACACAGGGATTATCTATATTAGCTGTCTAGTTTTAAACTAATAGACTAAAGGGAAGACAACTAGCCAACAACACCCACCACCAGCCCTTGGGCTACTATAATTGAATAGTGGAATTTAACCATCACTCTTATAACACAACCATGGCCCCAAAGTGAGGAGTGTGATTTTGAAGCAACGAAACATATATATCTAAACTAAGGACAACAAGGGACCTTTTGGTCAATCTAAGCCATCCTATCCACTAAATGAAAATAAAACACTCAAAGCCAGCCCTTATCATTCAAATATTTACTAAACCTTCCCTTATGTTATCTGCATCCAACACATTTGAAGGCAATCCATTCCAAAATGTCAATCACCCAATTAGAAAAATACAGCTGTCTTAGCTGAAGATGACTCCTACAATGTCCAAATTTACTTATGTGTCTCCTAGTCTTGTTGTTCTCACCATAAGCTTGAAAAAAAGATGATGCATCAATACTATCAATTCCCTTAATAATCTTGAACACTTAATCAGATCCCCTCTAACCCTTCTTTTATCAAGGAGAAATAATTTCAGAGTTCTTAACCTATCATCATATGACAACCTTTCCATCCAGGTATCATCCTAGTAGTCCTCCTCTGAAGCCTTTCCAACAATTCAATGTTCTTCTTAAGGTAAGAAGCCAAAGACTGAACACAATACTCCAATACTCAACCTTTATACATTAATTAATGATCTCATTCAAAAACAAAGTCTGATATTCCTTCTCTTTGGAAATGATCAAATGCCAAGTCAAGTATTCTCCAATACAAACAAAATGTTCATTATATATCATAAATGATTCTTCACAGGCACAAACCTACTGAAATGATTAAGCAATTAAGAACTGATTCAACAATCCCAATTCTCCAACACTCAATGCTTACCAATGTAATGGACACTAACCTCCATAACACTTAAATGTGCAAGGGATCATTTCAAAACATTTCTCATGATGTTTCATATGAACAACACCTTCCTCAGCCTTGAGCACATGGCTTTTAAGTATATATGATATCAATACAGATGTGACAGCATCAAGTGTTAATTGTAAGAGTTTGTAGGTAGTGGAATACTGAACAAATGATGATGGACATTTAATCCTTATTGCTGTCAATTTCAAATGTAACTTGGATGAAGAAATAAAAGCCCAAAACAAAACAAGTTTACTTGATTGGAATGTTTTAAACTTCATATGCATTTGCCACACAATAATAAAATATCCTTATGGCAATTAACAATTTAGCTACAATTATGAAAATAACATTTCTCACAATGTACACATGTACCTAACAAACAAAGCAAAAACTCTGACCTCTGGACCAACTGGCTCATATTCTTTGTCAGTCTCCCTGTAGGGCGGAGATATAACTTCATCAGAGAAAGAATTTGCTTTAGGAGCCACTGGCACATCTCCACGGCTGTGTTCTATTAATTAAACAAATGCTTTCTTAAACCATTCCTATGATTGCAAGACAGTGCAATTGCAAGTTAATTTTTCATTAGCATCGAAAAAGAAAACTACTGACACATTTTTAAGATATAATAGAATGGAATAAGCAAGTATAATATCATTTAGATTCTATTAAAGAACCTTTTTAGGTAAGATTGGATCAGTAGCACACTTGGCACCAGCCAAAAGAATACAATGACCCAACTGCTGACAAAACTTTAAAAGCACCAATAAATACTCTATAGTTGCAGTCATTCAAGAAACATACCTTATAGCACATTACTGTAAATGAATAGTTTAGTGTGTAATATGATTTAACTGACTTAGAGAGTTTTTCAATACATTTATAATTTCAGGTCAGTAGCTAATAGGCTTCACATTAATGAAACCTTTATTCATTTCAGTAATAGTTGTTACATCACATTCAGTTTTATTATACATTTCATATGATTTTCTCTTCATTTCATCAAACCCTTTTTATATTCTTATGACCATTACTGTTACAGTACATACATGGTCCCAAAGTGTGGAGCTAACTTTTTTTAGTAATGGGACACAAACCATGAATCCTCAGATTCACAACCTGTGCACGCTAACCACTAGGCCATGCTCAGCCCTAAAGAAATTATTAGTGGAAGTTATTATTGTCATTTGTTATATTCAATGACAAGTGATTTCAGAATTTGTCTGAGCTGGCCACAGTTTGTCATATTGCAGAATTATGATAACGTGCTATACTCTTTGTCAGTGAAATTATGCCCATTTTTGAGAAAAATACAAATGTCATGAACTGCTTGTGGTGTAACAAATTCTGTTACTTCCTGCACAAGTATAACAACTTCAGATCACTCACACACTTTAATCACAACTCATATATTGAT